TATATCTCTCCGATATATATTTTTTTGAGATAAAAAGTGTGAAATATATATAAATAAGGTACCAAGAGGATACCACTATGTATAAAAGATTTACAAAATGTGTTAGAGTGTCAACGACATTCTCAAAATTCTCATTCCTAATGATGTTATGTCATAACAAGGTAGACTCAAAATCATGATACCATCTATCTTTCAACCTGTAAGTCTCTACCTCTTTGTCCTTAAAAATTCTAAAAAAAATTTCTTCAATAAGACCCAAAAAATAGTTAATGGAATTAATTTTACAAACTCTCTTTTCTTGCATACCCCATCCCATGCCCAAATCTCCTCTTTAACAGAACCCACCATCACCCAATTAATTCCCAAAAGACCATAAATCAGGCTCTACAATTCATAACTAATAGGCACCACAAAAGGAGATGATTGCAAGATTCTGCCACACTCATACATACGATAATTTGGTCTCTAGTCATCAACTTATCGATAATTAATATGCATTCCCGAGTAGCCTACCAAGCAAAAAAAAAGCAATTCTAGGGGGCACCTTTGATTTCCAAATTTGATGAACCGGAAAGTTGTGACTCCTACCAGGCCCATCCCTCATAATATGGTTATAGTAAGATTTAACTGAGAAGTCCCCATTCTAATTCAGCTTCCAAAGCACCTGTGCCATACTGGAATTAAATTGTTGTAAAACTAGTAATTGCAGTAAAGATTCGTACTCACAAATTTTTCAATCATTCAGGTTTCTAATAACATTCACTATCCTTTCTCTTTTGTCATTAATGTCCTTGTACACCTCCTCAATCACTATGTTACTTGATTGTGAAATTATAAATATCTTCGGAAAGCGTCTCATAAGGCACCTCCCCATCTAACCAATCATCCAGTCAAAAATATGATTTTGTTATCTCTTCCTAATTGAATACACTCCTGAAAATGAGATCATTCCATCAAGATTTTTCTCCACAAATCTAACCCATGCGGTCTCTTAATCCAACCCCTAGCTCCACCCTCCTCAATACCTCCCCACCTCACCTCTAGGATCCTCCTCTACATATTGTCCTCTTCCTTCACGAATCTCCACGGGCACTTCCCTTGAAAAGACACATTCATCTCAACAAGGAATTTAATACCCAAGCGACCTTGGTTAAAGGATTTTTGACACCATCTCCTTTAACCAAGTGATATCTCATTTTCCCCTCCTCATCATCCCAAAAGAAGCGACATTGGATGGCTTTCAATCTATTGCAACTTTCACAAAGATCATCAATGTAGATAGATAATAAACAGGGAGCTTGACAAATGTACTTTTGATTAAAGTGAACCAACCTTCCGTAGATACAAAATTTCTTGTAACCAGTTAATCTTTTTTTCAAACAACTCGACCATTGATTCTCACATATTTAGATCTTTATATTTAACCTCCAATGGGACCCCCAAGTACTTAATTGGAAGACTAACAATTTTACACTCTATCTCTGGAATAAGACGACACTCATCACATTTATCACCAATTCTGACCATTTCTGATTTATTAAAATTAATATTGAGTCCAAAAATTGTTTGGAAACACGAGAACACACACTAAATGCAACATAATTCTTACATTTGGGAGACAAAAAATCAAAGTGTCATCTGCAAAAAAAAATGTGAGATCTCAAGTGAATTGTCTCCTCTACCCATAAAGACACCTTTCACCAACTGCAAATCCTTGGTCTTTGTCATCAAGCCATTCAATGCTTTCATAACAATTATGAACAATAGTAGAGATAGAGGAGACCTCTGTCGAAACCCCCATGAGGCCTTAAAGAAAGTTAGCGGGCCCCTGTTAATGAGAACAGTAAAAGATGTAGAGGAAATATAAGTATGCATCCAACTTCTCCACTTCTGCCCAAACCCCATTCTTCCCATCATATAATCCACAAAATCTCACTAACATGATGATCTTATGGCTTCTCCATATTTAGCTTACAAATCAGCCTTTCCTTCCTTCCTGCCACCAAATCATCCACCATTTCATTTGTTGCCTTAACTGCATCTAGAATTTGCCTACCCTCCACAAAGGTATGCTGACACTCGCAAATTACATCACTAAAAACTTTCGATAGTAATGAATTTATAGATGCAGTCCACCAAACTAATTGGTTTAAAATCTCTGATGTCATTTGCACCTTCCTTTTTTGTAATGAATTCTAAAAAAATACTGTTTAGAAATCTTACAAACGTACCAAAATCATGCATCGCTCTAAAAAGCTCCACCACATCACTCTTGATTACATGCCAGAATTCTTGCAAAAACTTCATATTGAAACCATCTGGACCTATGGCTTTGTCACCATTACGCATCTTCAAGCTCTCGTAGATCTCACCTTCATAAACTCTAGTTCCAACAACTATCTGCTTTCATCGGTTAATCTGTTGAAATGTAGCCCATCTAATCTAAGCCTTTCCACAAATTCTTCCTCATACAACCTGGAAAAATAACCACGGGCAACTTCCCTCATATCTTTATTACCCTTGACCCTCACCTCATCGATCCATATCTCATCAATGTAATTACATCACTGTCAATGACTGGTCAAAGCATGAAAATATTTTGTGTTACGGTCCTCTTTCTTCAGCCATTTTTCTATGGATTTCTATCTCTGCGAGGTCTCCTCAAGATTGATTTTGCTTGCCAACTTCACCTGCATGGAGTCTCTTCTTGACCTCTCATCTTCTTTTAATCTGCCTTCACACTCCTTACCAAGCTCATCAATCTCATCCATCATGATAATGAATTTCTCCCCTTCTCTCTCCCTTTCTTCCTTAGTCCATATTTTAATCTCATCCTTCAACATCTTAAACTTACACGCCATCCTGAAGCTTACCTTGACCTTAACAGTAGAATCTTTCCATTTCTCTTCCACTAAGACTCGAAATTTATCCACCGTCAACCATTTATTGTCTAACTAGAAAGGAATAGGACCCCATTGTATGTTATTTGATTTCAGACATATCAGAAAATTATTCGAAATAGGACATTGCAAAAGTTTTTGACAAACACCTGCAAGCTACAATAAAAAACAAGGTGAGATAAAAAAGGTCTATCCGTGAACATGAAGGTTGGCTTCTCTTATTAGTCTATGTCCACTGTCCCTCAACTAATGGTTAATTTGCCGATTCCAATCTATCCAAAGTATCTTTAAATTCATTGGCCCAAGAATTCGAAAAGTGGGCTCTGCTACTTTCCTCCCTTCTCAAGACCATATTAAAGTTCCCCTCAACAACCTAATTTTCATCCCATTTCTACTTACACTCATCAAGCTCCCTCCACAGTATCTCTATCTCATCACTATTCTCCCAGCAGTACATACCTGTGAACACCCACTCAACCTCTCCCCTACAATTTTTGAATAAGGAGGACAGTGTGGTGATGTGATCACAGTAAGCAAAGGAAAAGGGTCTCGTGGGAACAGGAGGGCCTGCACCCGCACGGGGTAAGTATGTCGCACGCACAGCCGCAACACAAGATGAGCATGCCACACGCACGCCAACAGAAGGACAAGGCAACATGCACCAGCCCCACACATGCGTAGCTACAAGGCACGCAGAAGAGGAATCCGTGCTCGCAAGGATTCTAGTCCCGCAGGAAAACGGAGTCCTTCCTCCCGTTGGAATCCCATGGCCTAAACACCAAAGAGGAAAGTATTTTTGAACTTTCCTTATTTCCTAAATTGATTCATCTCAATAAGGAAATTAAGTCCCAACATTCCAAGTTTCCTAAAATATTTCAAGAAAGAAAGTACAAAATTTAAGAGAAATTGGGCTTAGTTCAAGAAGATGGATCCAAAGGTCTTTTAAACGGTCCAACCCGTGAGCCCAAGAACAAGGCAAGGAAGTTTTGGCCTTTGGAGGATCAAACAAAGGGCAAGTGCAAGGCCTCTCAGCCAAGAAGGCTCCAATATTTACGTAATTCGACTTCTACTCCTATTAGTCAAGTGAAGTCTATATAAAGGATCTAAATTAGATTATAAATAACAACTTTGAGAAATCAGAGATTAATAAATTTGAGAAATATTCAGTTGAATATTTTATTCAAATTTTACTCTAAGTTTTTGCTTAATTGAGTGTTTAATTAAGGAGGTTGCTTCAATCCACTTGTTGAGCTTGGGAATCAAATCGACTTATCGGGTAAGTCGTGGTGTTTTTTCCTTTCTTATTTTTATTCCCAGTTACTTTAATTGCATTCAATTCGTTGAGTATTTTTTAAGTAGGAAGAGTTAATTAGGAATTGAGTTTCTAAATGCTTGTGTTCATGTAAGGTTTACGGGAGTCAAAACGATCCTACAAATTCCTCCCGCATCTCGTGGTCATACTCTTCAACACTTCCACATGTTTCAGTCTCTCATTCTTCCACATTAACACAATCCCACCAACCGTACCTCTAGCCGGGTTGCAATGCTACCCCAAATCTTTTTCTCTCCACAAGCTCTTCAGGATGTTATCAGAACACACCTCCATTTTAGATTCCTGGAGACTGACAATATCAGAATGCTACTTACTAAAACGATCACTTGTAACAAGTCATTTATACCCCTCACATTTCAAGATACAATTTTGTCGATCATTTAAAACAGTAATTTTCCCCCCTCCATCTTCTTTGCCTCTTTCTTCCGACAATTGCAGTTAATAAAAGATTCAAACCTCTTCAATTATCTACGAGTACCCTCAGACTGTTTTTTTCTTCTCCATATACACCAGCACACCGTCCCTTCGTTTTAATAGATCTTCTATCAATCTCAGAGAAAAAAGATAATACTTGATCGTCTATGCCTTCAAAAGAGACTTCATCATCCTG